ATTCTACTTTATTGTAAGGCTACATTAACAGAATCTTGAAAGTCTGAAAGTACAAATCTCCCACTGTCTCTTTTACAACCTGAGAAGTTAGGGAGGTACCTTTCAGAGTTTATTTCTCTCTCCCCGTTATGCAGCTGCAGGCTACCCTCTCTCTTATCTGATCATTCCCTAGGCAGCATCTCTTCCTCCTGTCTCCCAAGGTCATTCCCACATACCATTACAGTAGCCTAGGAAATAATATCCAGCTGGTTTAACTTGAAGTAGGAATCCAACTGGGGTAGCATTAAAGATGTCACATAAATCTTGTGTCTTCAAATCCAGCCCCGTGGACTGATTCCAGGATGCACTGCCCTTGTCCCTATTTATTTGAACTCAGGACCCCATTGATCCTAGGCCTTATGGATTTCCAGTGGTCAAAAGCAATGGCAGGACAGAGAGCTTATAGTATTGGAAGGAGTCATTGGGGCCAATGAGTTCATCCTGCTCTCCAGTGCAAGAAACCAAATGAAAGCAATCTTGAATGGTAGTCACCCAGCTTCTGCTTGAAGATAATCCAGCATTGAGTCCAGCAGTGCTTTTGATCATTGGTTCCAGGCTGATACTGCTCTTAACTTAAGGAAGGCTTTCTTAACATTGAACAAGAATATGCTTTCCCATAACATTAAGACCATTATTTTGTGTCCTGGCACTGTAGGAAAATAGGAAAGAGGTTAGATGTCTTTTTTTTTGCTGGAATAACTTCTGCTCTGGAAGTTTTGGGTGCCTATTTAGGATTTCTGATGTCCTCCAGGAGTGCATTGGAACAGGTACCTTGACCCATACATGTCACTAGGCAATTGATTTTTTTATAGATAGATGGACAGATATATTTAAAAAGGACACATCCTTCCTGTTTTAGAGTATATAAACAGAATGGTATTTTATTAAAGAAAAGTATATTTTCTTTCTTTCTTTCTTTCGAAATAATAATGAAAGCTTGTGCTTACTGCTGGAACATGGGTATTTTTGTAGGAAGAAATCAAGTCATGTTGCCCTTCCAAAGTTTTAGAGGAAAATTCTGATTTTGGTGGAAATGCTATTTTTTTATTAGAACAAAAGATCCCCTCTTTATCTTTTCTCCATGCCTTTGTAACCGATCGTCTCCTATACAGTATTCAGATATTGGCTACAGGGAGAGGGAAAAATAATGTATGTAAGAAATAAACCTCTTATAAACAACCCCACCCCTGCCAGTCTACCATGATTTTTAAAGGTTTATGATCCCAGAACCTTTCTTGTAGTTGCTAGATGGAGAAGTGATGAAAATGGTTTTTCAGATGCATTTATTTTATATGATTATGTACGCATATTTTTACTCCAGTGGACCCTCTGCTCTAAAATCCATCGCTATATCTTGATCAGTGTATCTGTTGCATGCTATTGTGTGCTGTGTTTGAGTTGAGAAGGAGTTATTTTCATTTTCTCCAGATCTGTATTTTTAATAATAAGCACTGAAATTTGGTGCCCCATTTTTGTGTGTATTTTCCCTGTTCTATTTTTAAATAAAACAAACAAAAACAGGCTCTTCTGTTTAACCTCTGTGTGTGAAGGGATTTAACTATTTATTTATCCACCATCTCAAGCCTAGGGGATTGCTTTTAAAATAATCATAAATAAACAATACATTACATCGAATCATTAAAACTACAAATCATAGAGGTATCCGTGCTTTTTTTTTTTTTGCTTATTTGTTAAAAAAATAAGGGGGTACTTTACTAAAAGTTCACTCCTAATTTTTAATAACTTTTTTTCTTTTTTGCCAAAATGGGGCCAGTGAGCATCACTTCGATTAGGAGCTGGAGCCTAACTGAGTTATCAGTACCGGCATGTCTCAGGCTTCTCTAACCAGGTGCCTTCCAGATAATTGGGGCCATGTCCTAGAATTCAAAAGCCGCAATCCCATGGAAATTTCCATGCTGAGTGATTCTAGGAGTTGCATCCGAGCATATCTGGAAGATGCCAGGTCTAGAAAAGGCTGTGCAAGACACAGCTTCAGCCTCCGTATGGTTATCTACAATATTTTTTCAATATTGTTACCCTGGCCACAAGTTCCATTGGGCAGAATGATTCCTAGGGGCAAAAGAGAAGAGGACTCTCATGCAAGTAGGAGTGTCTGCAAGGCAGGGTCAAAAAAGTAAAGATGGTAGTCACAACTATGCGATTAAAGCTCCCCCAGTTTTAATATGTGGCACATATGGCTGCCATATGACTTTTTTGACCACACAGGCAATATTTTCTAAGTGAGCTAAACGGGGCAGATCTATCATTTGGGTTCACACGGTTTCTTTTTTTTAATGACTGAACCAGGATTGGCAGCTTTATGCAGCTTGCAGCTAAATCATAATTTAGGCATCACAGAACACACTAAGCCTCTACAAAGCAAACCACATTAGAGCTCAGCACATTGCACGAAAACCTGTATTCACATTTAATTTATTTATTTAAATGTATTGGCTGCCCAATGGACTCACATTGGCCTCCAGTGGACTCCGTACATGTAGTGCTGCGAAGGGTTGCTGTTAGATCTTCCTCCCCTTTGCAATAATAAAAACGGGAAAACCATTCTTGATATTCTCAATAGGCTTTCAGCTTCTGCTGCCAATTATGAAAATCAGATGAAAGGCCAGGATCCAGTTTCCATGTCTTCCCCATCTGCATAGTGGCATCTGTCTACTTTCATAATTGCTTGTGAAGCTGGACTGCCTCTTGATCTGTGTTTCTTATGGGAAAAAAGCCCATTTAACAATGCAGACTCTAAAGCAGTGTTTCTCAACCTTGGCAATTTTAAGATGTGTGGACTTCAGCTCCCAGAATTCCCCAGTCAGCTGGGGAATTCTGGGAGCTGAAGTTCACACATCTTAAATTCGCCAAGGTTGAGAAACATTGCTCTAAAGGTGCAACATGGAAGGTGGCAAGTTCAGATTTGCCAACTTTCTTATTTGGCCCTTCTTGTCTTGATTGTCGGGAAAGGTGCAAACTCTTGATTTCTTGCTTTATTCTAAAATCGGTATATCAATGACTGTTTTCATAGTCTACAGTCATTTTTGAGCAGGCACCTTCGTAGCCACCTTATAGCAAACCAGCTGTCTTGCCATGCGAAGCCCGGATGGGGCCTGCCGTATTTCATCCAATGGCGAACGCACATTCATTCTGTTGTTGTCCTTAACTAAGATGGCTGCGGAACTTTTAGCGTCAATTCCGTAGCGCATACCTTTGACCCCTGCGTTAAAGTCACAGCCAACGTCCTCAAGAAACATGCGCGTTGGCACTCGGCTTCTTTCCTTTAACTAAGATGGCTGCCTTGCGCTTTCTTCCAATGTCTTGCCCTTAATGGAGACAACAGACCTGGCCTCCCTCTTTCCGGCGCCCTGGATATGCGCATGCGCCGTTAACTCTGGAGCGGTACTCTCTTGCCCGAAAGGAAGATGGCGGCAGCCTGAAGCGGAGGAAGAAATCAGCTGAGGAGAAGCGACGGTTGGGGTATTCCGCGACCTGCTTTTCTCCTCATGCACGGTCGGGATGCTCTGCTCGAGCGGCTTTTTCCGCGGCGTCGAATGTCCCTACGGGCCGGCCTGCGGGAGGCCCTACTGCCACTTCAGACACCCGCCTGGGGCCCAACACGCCACCGATGGCCCTACGCCGTCTCGACGCCTCTTGGGCCTGTCTGGTCCCGGCAGACGCCCTGCCACAGTCGGAGGTAATCGGGGCTGCTTGGGGACCTCTCCCCTAACCGCGGTCTGAGGATAAGGCGCTCTACCCATGCTCCGTGGCGCTGTTGAACCGGGGGTGGGAACGAAGGCGTCGGCGTCCCCATCTCGCTTGGGATAAAGGCAGCCTGTAAAGGCTTGGACGCGACTGGCTTTTCTCATGTTAAAAAAATCTCCTGCTCTCCATATTAGATCCAGCCGCCAGCTCTATAAAGCATCCTGTCTCGTAGGGTACGGTGGGATGGGATGGGGTGGGGTGGGGTGGAACATATAAGAGAGGCTTCTTCCTCGACCTGATCTGGGGAAGGAGAACTAACCCTGTGTTCTCCGTAAGTGTGAGGGAAGTCTCCTAGCGTGTTTGGGATGGGAGGAAAGCAATGGAGAGCTTTCTTTTTCCCGGAGCAGATTCGTTCCCTTCCCGTTGGGGTAGAGTCAGGAGCGGGCCATTCACACGCGTTCAGCAGCTCTCCTGAACGGGGTGGGAAGAATGAAGCGTCCCGGAGGAATTACTCCTCAGCCATGACTCCCAAATCCCATCGGCGTGAGAAAAAAAAAAGGTGTACGTTGCAAGCTATTGTAACGAATTTAAGAGGGTTCTTTTTTTCTTTTTAACTTGTCCTGGAGCGTCGACACTTGCCGCTTACCGTCTGTTTTTGCCTTCTCACTTCAGTTGCTTTGTTTGTAGGAGGCCGTTTCCTTACAAGGCATAATTTGTGGGAATTTCTGACATGAAATGTGGGTGTGGTTTTTTTGTACAGTTAGCTTTAGAAATGGCGTGATCATTAAATGGAGCCTCCGCATTTAGAAGGGGTTTGTCCCTAGGTATGTGCTGCTGCAGATGAACAGTGTAAAAGGGCCACTCTCCTGGCCTGCTTCGGTTTAGGCCAGTGAGCACGCAGGATTTTGAAAACAAGTTGCGAGCGCTCTCACTAAATAGCTGCCACGGGGGCTTGCTTTTTCCATGAAATTGCTGCCCTGCTATGCATCATCATAAACATAAGTTTCCAAGAAGGTGAATTGATAAGATCCCCTTGCAGATTCTTTTTTTTTTTTTAATTTAAAAAGTTTTAAAAAATTAAATCAGGGGAAAGGAACCTGGTAGCATTTATGGGCACTGTAGAGTGTATATCATGTTGAGCATTAGGTAAATAAGAACACGCGTGTTCATCCAAGCTCTATAGATGTAAGGCTATAAGATTCTTCCTCTTTTAAGATTATATGATGTGCTCCTTTTTAATTTGACATGGGCATGCTGTAATTTTTATGCATCATAATGATATACTTGGTGGTATTGTACATTGCCATTAGGTCCTTTGAAAGAAAGATTTATAAAAAAAAGATGTTATGAAAGAAGAACAAGCTTTACCAGACAAGATTGAGACTGATCTGGAAATGGATTTAAAAATGACAGGCTACAAGAATGTTATGGAAAAAGATGCTACACTGGATATACAAATGAAACTGGCTGATGTCTTAATAGGTAACAGGGAAATACAAATAACAAACCAAAGAAGTGACCCAGATAACTTTCCTATATTGGATTTACAAAAGAGACTTGAAGAATTTTGTGAGGAGGGACAAAGAATGAAAAGAAATCAAGTTCTATGACATTATTTGGAGGAATTAAAGATCAACACTGTTAAAAGTAAAAGGAAGGAATATAAAGATGGTTTATTTGATCAAGATTAAAATATCTCTGGTAACCCTTAATAGACTTTTGTTGACCAGGATTGAACAATGAGGTTTTAAGGATTTGTTTATAGAAAAGAGATATGGGAAGAAGAGATCATTTCTTATATTTTAAGAGAAGATGATAAGTTACTAAAATTATTTATACTTGTGATGAAAGAGACATTTCTTTATAAATTTTCTTTTTATTATATTCTTATTTTTTTCTTTCTTTTCTATCTTTCTATTTTCTATTTTCTATTTTTTATTTTCTGCATTTTCTATTTTCTTCTTTTATTTTTCTTAGTTTGTATTAGTTTTTTTCTTTTTGATTGTAATAGTAATAAAATTTAATAAAATTACTATTAAAAAAGGAAGAGTAATAAAAAAGGGTTTTTAGATATTCCTATCTTCCACCAGGCACTATCATGCTAGTTAATGACTGATACAAACTGAAGGTTGATGTATAGATTAGAAGCCCCTCATACCTTATATAGTACCATGTACAGAGATGCTGTGTCATAAAATTAATGTGTTTGCATATCAGCATAATGCAACCAGAGACCACTTATGAATCATTATTAATGCTTCTTGAAAGCTGTTTCTTCTTGGCTGCCATAGCAGAAAATCTGGTCTAAAGCTGCTTTGGTAGAGATTTCTCTGAAGTTTTTGTCTTCTCCCATAAAATATATATTTATATAATTTTGGGCTGGACTGTAGATTGGATTTACTGATTTTTCTGCTAGTTTTCCAACATGCTTCAGAACTGGGGGGAAAAAGTGGAAATTATTATTTATCGTCATTGTATTTCCAAAGCCAGTGACATAAACAAGAAAGCCCTTGCTGAGTGACAATCCTCTGGACATTTTGCATCAGTAACTGTCAGGTTCAGCCCAAGAATCACACGAGAGAGTCCAGAAATCAGCTCAGCTTCTTTATTAGCTTGCACCTGATAGAATCTCACCAGACTAACTCTAATTCCCCAGCGAGAGCAACTAAAACCATCAAGCCCTTTGGGAGGGGCCAGTCTCTTCCTCCTTACTTTCACACAATCCAACTGGGGGCTGAGGAGATGCTTGGAATGTC